AGTTCATGGGTCAGAGCCCCCGGAAGCCACTGGGAGCTGGAGGGATCACCACACCTGTGGAGACAGTGTCCACGCCTATAGGTTCCTCACAGCCACATCTGCCTTTCAGCACAAACTGGATACCTTGTGTAACTTTGTTCAGAGCTGCAACCAGGTGCCATTGATGTGGTGTCAGCCCAGGGACAAGGTAAGCAGGGGACAGGCATGTTCCCCATTGGGTAGGGTCCTTTGCTTTTGGCCCTTGACAGTTGCCCTCTGGGACTGTGGGTCATCTGCAAGGAGGAATGGCCAAGACATGGAGACATGGTGCTTGTGAGCCTCCCAGGCCCATTCTGGACATGACACCCATGCATTTCCCTTGCATTGTCATGTCGGAAGTGTCAGGAGCTTTCTTATCTAGAGCGATACCCGGCCCTTCCAGACCTAAGTAAAAAGGGCTGGAGAGGAAGGCAGGCCAGTGAGGGCTATTGGCCTCCCAGTCCATCGTCCTCCTCACTGCCCACCCAACCCTGCGGGTCTGCTGGCTCCTCTCCCTCCACTGAGACTCTCCTGGGCTGGTCACACAGGGGCCAGGAGTAGTGGAGGGCATGGTGACACCCTCCCCAATATTGTCTGCCCAACAGTGACTGGTTTTACCAACTGTAAAGGTTCTGTCCTTCTGTCATTACCTGTGTCAATGAGGAGAAGCCAAATTGTTAAAATTGTCATCTTGGAATGTAATAATAATGAAGGCTAATTTTTTTAAAGTTTATTTATGTTTTTATTGAGGTGACATTGGTTTATTACATTATATAAATTTCAGGTGTACATCATTATATTTCAATTTCTGTGTAGACTACATCTTGTTCACCACCCAAACCAATTACCATCTGTCAGGGTGCACATGTCCCTTTTACTCCTTTTCCCTTCCCCCTCCCCACTTCCCCTCTGGTAACCACCAGTCTAATCTCTGTATCTATGTGTGTGTTTGTCATTGTTGTTTTTATCTTCTACTTATGAATGAAATCACAGGTATTTGACTTTCTCCCTCTGGCTTTTTCCTGCTTAGCAGAATACCCTCAAGGTCCATCCATGTTGTCGCAAATGGCAAGATTTCATCTTTTTTAGGGCTGAGTAGTAATCCCTTATGTATACATACCACATCATCTTTATCCATTCATCCATTGATGGGCACTTAGGTAGTTTCCAAGTCTTGGCTATTGTGAATAATGCTGCAGTGAACATAGGGGAGCAAATATCTTTTTGAATTAGTGTTTTTGTCTTATTTGCATAAATACTCAAAGTGAAATAGCTAGATCTTATTGTAGTTCTATTCTTAATGTTTTGAGGAATCTCCATACTGTTCTCCATAGTGGCTGCACCTGTTTGCACTCACACCAGCAGTGTGTGAAAGTTCCCTTCTCTCCACATCCTCTCCAACACTTGTAATTTCTTGTCTTGTTAATTATAGCTATTCTGATGGGTGTGAGTTGATATCTCATTGTAGTTTTGATTTGCATTTCCCTAATAAATTAGTCATGTTGAAGATCTCTTCATGTGCCTGTTGGCCATCCATATATCTTCTTTGGAAAAACGTCTGTTCAGATCTTTTGTCCGTTTTTTAATTGGGTTGTTTTTTTGTTGTTGAACTGTATGAATTCTGTATGTATTTTGGATGTCAACCGTTTATCAGGTACATGGTTTGCAAATATCTTCTCCCAATTTTTAGATTTTCTTTTCATTTCATTGGTCGTTTCCTTTGCTGTGCAGAAGCTTTTTAGTCTGATGTAGTCCCATTTGTTTATTTTTTATTTTGTTTCCCTTGCCTGAGTAGACATGGTATTTGAAAAGATACTGCTAAGACCGATGTCAAAGAGTGTACTGCCTATATTTTCTTCTAAGAGGTTTATGGCTTTAATAAACAAGTCTTTGCAAGTCTTTAATCCATTTTGAGTTAATTTTTGTGGATGGTGTAGGATGGTGGTCTACTTTCATTCTTTTGCATGTGGCTGTCCAGTTTTTCCAGCATCATTTATTTTTCCTTTTTTTTTTTTTTTTTATGAGGGAGATCAGCCCTGAGCTAACATCCGTGCCAATCCTCCTCTTTTTGCTGAGGAAGACTGGCTCTGAGCTAACATCTATTGCCAATCCTCCTTTTTTTTCTTCCCCAAAGCCCCAGTAGATAGTTGTATGTCATAGTTGCATATCCTTCTAGTTGCTGTATGTGGGACGCGGCCTCAGCATGGCCGGAGAGGCGATGCGTTGGTGCGCGCCCAGGATCCAAACCCCGGGCCGCCAGTAGTGGAGCGCGCGCACTTAACCGCTAAGCCATCGGGCCGGCCCCCAGCATCATTTATTGAAGAGACTTTGGCAGTGCAGTCCGCTTTTAGATTGACCCCTGAGCACCTACAGCATCTCCTACTGAATAGAGTAAAGGATAAATTCAACTGAATACGGCAAAGAGCTGTAGCATCCAGCGTCCCAAAGCCCGCTGTATCTTCCTCTGTCCCCCCGGGTGAGCTCAGATCTGGGACGATAGCACGGATGTAAACCCTCTCCATCCTGTTGTCTTTGGCTTGTCCTCAGTTCCATTTTAAATCTAGCTGTGACATTATTGGTTTGACAACTGCTCAGACACAACACCTCCCTCAGCCACAAGTTTCTGCCAGAGGGCGTGCACTCCCTCTCCCAGGAAAGCCCTTTGCTCCCTGTTCTGGAGCCTCTGCGTCTTCCTGTGCAGGCTGCCCTAAGAGCTGGTCATGGCCACTGGCAAGTCGATGGCAAGAGACCATAGGAAAGAGTGACAAGGAGAGGACACCTAAGAACCTTGACAGCAGACATCAGAACTGGAGGACCGCAGCAGCAAGGACAAGGGCCCCTGCACAGGAGGGGGCCTAGAAGGGCCTAGAGCATAGCAGCAGCAGCAGCAGCAGCAGCATCGTCCATATTCTTAGATCACCCTGTACGCACAGTATTGTCATTAACTGCTGTGTCACCACGTGTGTCATTTACACAGCTCGTTGACGTCGCTGCCTTAATCTAATCCCACTGCATCCTTGGATGCACTATCTGTGTTCTGCAGAGGAAAACGTTCAGGTTTGAAACCCGCCCAGAACTTGCACTTGGCTCTCCTGCCTCTTGAGTCTGCCCACTTCCTCTGTGGATGAGATGCTAAATGCAGCCTGAGCCACGCAGAAAACATGCTCAACACGTCTGGGTGGTGGCAGGGGAATGGTACACATGATCCAGGAGAGACTCATCACGAATCCCGAGCGGTGGCATGCTCACCTGGACAAATCTGCTCTTTCTGTCAGTGTTTTGGAGAGCTGTGTTTTTATCATAGGTCACCTGTCTGGGCCAGTGTATACTTTCCTGGGGCTGCTGTAACAAATTGCCACAAATGTAGTGGCTTAAAACAACACAAATTTATTTTCTCACAGTTCTGGAGCCAGAAGTGTGAAATGGGTTTCCCTGAAACGACATCAACTTGTCACCAGGGCCATACTCCTTCCTGAGGTTCTGGGGAGAAACACTTTCCTGTCTTTTCCACTTCTAGAGCAGCGTTCCCCGTGTTCCCTGGCTCCTAACTCCTTCTTCCATTTACAAGCCAGCAGGGCAGCACCTTAAATCTCTCGGCTTCCATCATCACATCGCCTTCTCCTCTTCTGTGTGCAAATCTCCCTCTGCCTCGCTCTCACTGGACCCTTGTGATCACATATAGGGCTCACCCAGGTAACCCAGGATAATCGCTCCATCTCAAGATCCTTAACGTAGCCACATCTGCAAAGGCCCTTTTGCCCTATAACCTAAAAAATCCACAGCTTCCGAGGATTAGGACCTGGATATCTTTCGTGGCCATTATTCAGATGACCATAGCAAACCATTGAACTACAAGCCTCTATGGGAGCAAGGATTGTCGTATTCAACACCTTGCACATTGTGTGACACATAATGAACCTCAGAGGGTCACGGAGGCATGAAAGTGTGAGTGTATATGGCGTAGGGGGTGTGCAAGGACCACAGTAAGGAAGGGCCACGCCCAGCGGCCTTTGCTCTGCCTGTGCTCCTAAAGGCCTGATACCTTGGTGTGCCAGTGGGTTTGTTTGGGATAAAGGCGGACTCTGTGGTCCTTGAGGAACCACCCACTGGAAGCAAGCCGGGGGTCTGGGAAAGGCCGAGGTGCTTTCCCTCCTCTTGTATATGCCGCTTCATGGAATGTGGAGGCCCTTTCTTACTTGCTGTCTGCATCCCCTGGAGCTGGAGTGGCCAGAGGTGTTGCCAGCTGATCAGTGTGCCCAGGCCACCCTCCCTGGCACATCCGGGCCGATCAGCTGGAGGTCCTCAGCAAAGGCAGAGCTGGAGCAAGGGGGAGATGACAACAAAATCAGGGGCGGTTGGTACTACATAGAGATTTTGCTATCTAAAGGGCCTGCATCATTCTTTTCCCAAAACAAGATGCCCGTGGGTGCTGCTGCCTCCACAGCCTGTCACCCATCTGAGGGTGTCCCCACCTGCCCTTGCCCTGGGGACCCGGAGCTCAGCCTGAGTGCTGTGGTGAGGGCTCATCCCTTCAGCACACGGTCACCAAGAGAGCGTGGGCAACACTGAGGCAGAGGCAGCAGTCAGGCTCGTTCTTGCTCCCCAGGCTTCCAGTCCAGGGGGAAGCAGAAAAGTTCAACACTAGAGCAAAAGGAGTCCAGAGTCAGAAAACGAGCTGCCGGGGAAGGCAGGGCAGACTTCCCATGTCTGAACAGCATCTCAGAATAGGACTCCGGGCTAGAGGCCAGCACCCAGGAAAAGGAAGGGCATCAACAAACGTCCACCCTGTGGGTCCTGACGGGTCCAGAGCCCGACCCCCCTGAGCCAAGGAAACCACAGCCTTCTGGTCCCCATTGCAATGGCTTCTCAGTGACCTTCTCTCTCTTCTCTTCCCTGCAGGGGAGGTGCATCTGCTTCACCCTAGTGAAGCCCCCCTGCACACAGATGCCCTGCAGCTCAGAGATCTGCCTTCAACCCAGCCAGGAGTGCTTCCCCAACAGCTGCTGCTCACGGTGCCAACACCCCCCACCCATCTGCTCCCGGCCTTCCTCCAGGATGCTGTCGCTGATCCCTCCCCCTGCCCAGACACTCTGCAGAACTGCTTTGTCACTCCCACCCCCTTAGCCCAACCTGCAAAGCACCAAAAACCCAAGATTGTTAAGAGCCCCTTGTGTACTGAATTGTACATATATATTGAGTCTTGGTTTACAGTCAAAAGGAGTTGGAATTTATTCCTGATCAGCAAGAGAGTTTGTTACCTGGTAAGCATTGCTCCACCACATGAGACGTATCTATACTGCTCCCGCAGGGACAAAGCACCCTGGTGTCCTGTGGATGTAGACATGGATCAGTCCCACTCCCCGCAGCCTCACCTTCATCTGTCACCAAGGGCTGGGACGCATGGGATTTTAGGCAAATTCTGCTCTTTGGAAAAGCCCAAAACGCCTTTGAAATATGAATACAACTGTATGTCTGTCACTCGCTGGCTGTTACTTAATCTCTTGGGCAAGTTATTAATCTTCTTGTGCTTCACTTTCCTCATTGAAAAGATGGGAATAATGTCTCCTCTACAAGGTGCCATGAGGGTGATGGTAAGTGCTGCAATGTGCTCACCTCAGGGCCAGGCGTCTAGTAAGCACTCAGGTGCCTAATAGTTAAGATCTTCCCTCCCTGCCCCGGAGGAGGAGAGGAAGATGAGCACAGGGACATCAAGAAGTGTCTGGTGAGGTCAGGGGAGTCAGAGAAGAGACGATGCCTGGACCTTTTAGCTCTGGACACCAGGAAATGGGGGTGGCACAAATAAACATTCTCTGTAATGAGGCTGCTGACCACACATGGCTTCACATCCCAGGCCTACCAACCACATAACCTCCTAGACACTACTGGAAAAGGCCCTGGAACCTACTACCTCCTTCAGAAATGTTAATTCCCTTCCCATACCCTCAATATTTCTCATGATGTAAAGTAAATCCTAGGTGCCCACTTTACTAAGCTTTCAAATCTGCTCCTCTCTTGAGAGAGCCAGAACTCCCAATCTTTCAGATCCCTTCCCCTGAAGTCTTTGAAGACCTGATCAAGTTTTCTTTCCATGATAATGTTTGAGTACTATCCATAGACAAGACTCTATTGTGAAATCCCAGAACACAGGTGTGAGGCTGTAGCATCACCCTGGACCACAGTCTGAGGAGGAAAGAGGAGACTGCTTACTCCTGTACACATGCCAGTGCAATGAATCAGAGATCGTGAAGAATCAGATACACAACTTGATGAAAAGAAACAAAAAAGCTCCAATAATTGACCCTAAAGAAATAGAGATCTATGAACTGTATGACAAAGAATTCAGAATAATCCTCTTAAAGAAATTTAGTGAACTACAAGAACACACAGACAACTAAATGAAATAAGGAAAACGATGCATGAACAAAATGAGAAATTCAACAAAGAAACAGAAACCATCAAAAGAACAAATAGCTAGAGCTGAAGAATACAATGACTTTACTGAAGAATATGATAGAGAGATTCAACAGCAAACTTGAGCAAGCAGAAGAAAGAATAAGTGAACTAAAATATAGATCGTTTGAAATTATCCTACCAGAGGAGCCAAAAAAAAAAAAGAAAGAAAATTAAAGAGTGAAGAAAGACAAGGCGACATTATCAACAGAAACAATATATGAATTATGGGAATCCAAGAATTCAAAAAGAAAGAGAAAGGGATAGAAAGTATAATTAAAGCAAAAAGGGTTGAAAACTTACCAGATATGGAGAGAGAAATGGACACCCAGATTCATGAGGCCCAAAGGACCCCAAATAGGTTGAACCTGAAAGAGCTATACCAAGACACATTATAAGTAAATTTCCTAAAGAAAAAGACAGAGGGAATTTTGAACAGCAAGGGAAAAGTGAGTTGTCACATACAGGGAACCCTGTAAGACTTAGGGTGGATTTCTCAACAGACACTTTGCAAGCCAGGAGAAAGAGGGATGATATCTTCAAATATTGAAAGAAAAAACCTGTCAACCAAGAATACTATGCCCAGCAAAGCTGTTCTTCAGAAATGAAGGAGAGATAAAATAATACCCAAACAAACAAAAGCTGAGGGAGTAAGACCTGCCTTACAAGAAAGGCTAAAGGATATTCATCAAGCAGAAATAAATGTCTAATAATTAACATCATGAAAACATAAGAATGTATTTGTATAACACACTGGTAATGGCAAATATATTGTCAAAGTCAGATTCTCTAATATTGCATTGATGGTGCATAACTCACTTAGAACTTTAGTTAAAAGGTTAAAAAATGTAGGGGCCAGCCCTGTGGCATAGCGGTTAAGTGCGCATGCTCTGCTGCTGGTGGCCTGGGTTCGGATCCTGGGCGTGCACCGAAGCACCACTTGTCAGGCCATGCTGTGGCAGCGTCCCACGTAAAGTGGAGGAAGATGAGCACGGATGTTAGTTCAGGGTCAGTCTTCCTCAGCAAAAAGAGAAGGATTGGCATGGATGTTAGCTCAGGGCTGATCTTCCTCACAAAAGAAAAAAAAGGTTAAAAAATGTATTAACCATAAAAACAATAATTTGTTATTGGATATATAATATAAAAAACATGTAAATTGTAATGTCAATACAATGACAATAATGTCAAATTGAAGGAGGGAGAGGTAAAAGGATAAATTTATGTATGCTATTGGTATTGTTATTATTAGCTTAAAATAGAATGTTATAAATATAAGATATTTTAGGTAAGACCCATGGTAACCGCAAAGCAAAAACCTATAGTAGATACGCAAAAAACTATGAAAAAGGAATCCAAGCATACCCTTACAAAAAGCCATCAAATAACAAAAGACAGCAAGATAAGAATCAAGGAACAATGGGTCTACAAAATCGTTGAAAAAAAGTAACAAAATGGCAATAGTATGTCCTTACCTATCAATAATTACTTTTACCATAAAAGAATTAAATTCTTCAATTAAAAGACATAGAGTGGATGAATAGATAAAAAATAAGATCCAACACTATGCTGCCTATAAGAAACTCACTTTAGCTTTAAAGACTCACATAGATTAACAGTGAAAGGATACAAAAAGATATTATAAGCAAATATTAACCAAAAGATAGCACTGATACCTATACTTATATCAGACAAAATAGACATTAAGCTAGAAATGGTTGAGAGACAAAGAAGGTCGTTTTATAATGATAAAGAGGTGAATTCATCAAGAAGATAGAGCAATTATACATATTTGTGCACCCAACATTGGAGCACCTAAATATGTAAAGCAATTACTAACAGAGCAAAAGGAGAAATAAAGAGCAATACAATAATATGTGGGAACTTTAATACTCACTCTCAACAATGGAAAGATCATCCAGCCAGAGAGTCAATAAGGAAACATTGGATTTAAACAGCACTATAGGCCAAATGAGACCTAACGGACATGTACATAACATTCCATCCAAGAGCAGCAGAATACACATTTTTCTTAAGCACCTATGGAATATTTTCTAGGTTAAGTCATATGTTAGGCCACAAAACAAGTCTTAACAAACTTAAGAAGATTGAAATCATACCAAGTAACTTTTCCAACCACAGTGGTATGAAACTAGAAATGAATAACATGAGGAAATCTGGAAAATGCTCAAATACGTGAAAATTAAACACCACACTCCTGAACAACCAATAAACAAGTGAAGAAATTAAGAGTAAAATAAATATCTTAAAAATGAAAATGTAAAAACAGTATACCAAAACATATGGGAGACAGCAAAACCAGTTCTAAGAAGGAAGTTTATATCAATAAACACATACTTCAAGAAGAAAGAAATATGTCAAATGAACAAACTTACTTTACATCTCAAGAAACTATGAAAAAAACTAAGTACAAAGTTAGCATAAGGAAGGAAATAATAGACTGGAGCAGAAATAGAGAACAAGAAAACAATAGAAAAGATTAACAAAACTAAGAGTTGATTCTTTGAAAAGATAAACAAAATTGACAAACCTTTAGCTAGACTAACCAAATAAAAAGAAGAGTGCCAAAATCAATGAAATTATAAATGAAAGGGAAGACATTACAACTGATACCACAGAAATACAAAGGCTCTGAAGAGTCTGCTATCAAAAATATATGCCAATAACTTGGACAATCTAGAAGAAATGGAAAAATTCAGTCTCCTACCAAGACTGAATCATGAAGAAATAGAAAACCTGAACAGACCAATAACAAATAAGGAGATTCAATCAGTAATCAAAAACCTCCCAACAAAGAATAGCCCAAAACTAGATGCTTTCACTGATAAATTCTCCAAACAACTTAAAGAAGAATTAACACCAGTCCTTCTCAAACTCTTCCAAAAGATTGAAGAGGAAGAAATACTCCCCAACTCATTTTAGAAGGCCAGTGTTACCCTAATCCCAAAGCCAGATAAGGACACTACAAAAAAAGAAAATTACAGACCAATATCCCTGGTAAATATAGATCCAAAAATTTGCAACAAAAGAATAGCAAACCAAAGTCAGCAGCACGTTAAAGGGATCATACCATGATCAAGTGGGATTCATCCCTGGAATGCGAAGATGGTTTGAAATGTGAAATATCACATTAATAGAATGAAAGAATAAAATTATATGATCATCTCAATAGATGCAGAAAAATCATTTGACAAAAATCAACATTTATTCATGATAAAAACTCTCAACAAACTGGGTATGGAAGGACCATATCTCAACATAATAAAGGCCATATGTGACAAGCCTCCAGCTAGCATCATACTTGATGGTAAAAGGTTGAAAGCTTTTCCTCTAAGATCAGTAACAAGACAAGCTAGCCCATTCTCACCACTTCTATTCATCATAGTACTAGAAGTCCTAGCCAGGGCAGTGAGACAAGAGAAATAAATAAAAGCCATCTGAACTGGAAAGGAAAAAGTAAAATTGTCTCTCTTTGCAGATGACCTGATTTTATATATAGAAAATCTTAAAGACTCCACCAAAAAACTGTTAGAATTGATCAACAAATTCAGTAAAGTTGCAGAATACAAAATCAACATAAAAAATTAATAGCGTTTCTATATACTAACAATGAATTATCTGAAAAAGAAATAAAGAAAGCAATCCTGTTTACAATAGTATCAAAAACAATAAAATACTTAAGAATAAATTCAACCAAGGAGGTGGAAGATCTGTACACTGAAATTATAAGGCATTG